AACCAAGCAATGACATTCTGAGGTCCATGGTTTACAAAGAGTTGGCGACTCAATGTTTGCAAAGAGTAAAAAAAACACCTGATATACTGTGCACAGATGAGTGCTTTCTTCCTAACATGCAGGGGTCACAGAGTGAAAGATATAATCATATGTAAGGTTGTAACAACACGTGTATCTGGGTCTCACTGTAAAAATGAAATTGCTTTTAAAATGAAGAGCTTCACAGTAAAAAGTGAATACCGAGAGATTTTTTTATTACTGATGTGAATGTAATTCATTTTATAATGTATAGTAGCCTTCCTTACACAATGGCATTTAGTAGTAGGAGAATCGGTATAAATAGGCACAAAATGCAAAGAGAACCTACATGATTATTTTTAATTAATATCTGATTATATACATAAATATCTTAATCTTTAGTCCACAGGAAAAAACAATCTCACATAACACACAATACAAACTACTACCAAAGGCAATAAAATTCTTCCAATTTAAAGATACTGGAAGAAAAGTTTCTAACTTGAGAAAGTAGACATAATAAACATCAAAAAATGATACATGAAATCGAATGTATAATTTTAGAAGCAAAACAAAAAAATAACATACCTCCTTATAGAAGGATCTACCTTAATTATGGTAAGCTGCATTATGCAAATGGAAATCACGACATGCCCTGTTGGACAGAGTGGAAGAGCGTGCAAAAAAATTTTCATCTTACAACATTAATTTGGTTTTTCATCTTTAGGCATGAAAGCCAGGGGGAAAAACATACATATCTCAATAGTGACCTCTAGTGGACAAGTGTTAAAATGGTTAGTCTCCACTTGAAACTCCTTTTTAAGAATTTAAGCAAGAAAAACATTTATAAAACTAACGCTCTTAAATACCATAAAAGCCAGAGATCAGATTAAGTAGTAAACAATAAAAAAGCCCAGCTAACACTGGCTTAAACAGCGCGATAACCACACTGCAGGGCTGGAGGAGGGAAGAGACAAGAAAGTCGCTTGGAATCACTGCTACATTCCCTTCATTAGTAACCGTGAGAGCAAATAAGCACTTGGTTATACCATCTCGGTCGACTTGGACTTAGCACAACTCATCACGTAACATCATATTAACCAACCAACATTAACTTGAGTGCCATATTTCATATTTTCATGCTCTTGACACTTGTTCGGGGATGGGATCAAGAGAAGCATAAGACAGGGTTCCTAACTTCGAGAACCTCATAATGCAATTAATGGTATGTAGAAATTAGTATATACTTTGGACCTTAAATACATAAAACTGAATTTCATCTGAACGAGTAGCAAGCCCAGAAACCATGAGACCTAGAGTGGTAAAAGCAGGCTAACTGGAGAAGCTGAAGCCAGGAGGGCTGCGTGGTGGAAGAAACATCCATTGCTGGTTATGAGTCCAGCTTCTCTACCTGAGGGATCTTTGGTGTACCTGAGGAGTACCATGCAGCATATCATCCTTCAACTACGAAAGGGCCTCTGTGACTCTAAAGATGACAGGGACATCAGTCTTTGGGACATAAGGTTTTGTTTCTGTAGAGTGCTCACAGTCCAGCAAGACTGAAACAGACAGAATGAGTGAGAGAGGAGTGGTCACACCTACTTAATTCCTTCTATCAGTTAATCCTGAAGAAACCATCTGGTTCCTACACAGACCACTTCACCTCCAGCCAACTACTTCTTTTGTCCTCCCTGTCATCTCTCTGCATCCTTCAGTCAACCATCATTGCTTTTCACAGAACACATGGGTATAGAAGGATAAGAAATCGTCTCTGCCTTCAAGAAAGCTTAAGGTCTATTTAGAGAGAGAAGAAACATGAAGAGAAGGACAGGCAGTGCTTACCAGTGTTAAATACAATACACAGTCAATTTTACAGGAGTTGGGGCAGGATTTCAAGTTGACAGGCAGTCAGGAAAGGGAGCCTGGAGGAGAGGAAGGTGAGGCATCGAAGGCAGCTGGGAATGGAGCAGGCAGAGGCAGGGCTTGGCCCCAGGAGAGGAGACAGACCAGTCTTCCTGCACATAGGGAGGAAAGGCTTGCTGCAGGCTGTGGGGCCAGAGGAGTGCAGCTTCTGAGTTAGGTGAATAGAGCACCTTCCACCACTTTCACTATGTGTGATAGTATTAAGGATCGGTGCACAGGAGGCGGGGTTTCTGAAGAGGAGACCAGGGACAGATCCTCTTTACTCTGAAACCACTCCCACTGGGCTGGAAAGAACCTCCTTTGGGTTCCCAGATAAGAACCCAAAGCAAAAGAGCAGAAGGAAAAGATTCAGCTGCTACTCTGCCTCCCATCTCCGAAGAAAGTTTGTCAAGGGTACACGGTATCTAGGAAGCAGCTGCAGGTGGGGGAGTCCCATCGCCTTCACCAGAACCCATTAGCACTGCTCTCACCCCATACCACCCCACACCTAGGTCTAGGTGCACATCATTTCACTGTAGTGACGGTGATGCTCCAACAGTGATTAACTTGACAATTTTGAAATTGACAATTTTATCAAACACACGCTAGAAAACATCAAGAATTTCTGGTCACGAAATCCTGGGGAAGTTCAGGCTCGTAAGTGCATTTTCATGGTCCCTGTGTCCTCACTGGCACTGTGTTGAGGGCCCTGTCGATACCAAATCCCCAGAGGATCAAGGTTGTCAACTCAGTGCCACGCTGCTCCAATGGCCAGCAGATAGTAACACACGGTGGCCCTAAATTAAGATCCCAGTTTGAGTAAGCCAGTCCTTCATTCTGTAAGGACATAGAGGAAATGTCAATGTAATTGGCATACTAAGAGAAAAACACAAATACTTTTGCAAGATAAAGGCAGTGCTGAGGGGTCTATCTTTTGAGTCCCAGCGGTTTTAATGTAGCACTGTCAGCCAGTCCCTATTAAAAACCATGGAAAGTGAAAGACACTGATTACAACGAAAAGTGACAGAAGGGTGTGCTCAGCCACTTACATTTAATGCATATTTATATTTCCATCAAATGGACATATTTACTATAAACACTTGAAAAGCCATGGCAAAATCATTCATTTAAATGCCAGAAAAACAGTAAAAGATGCTAATTTGACCTTAGTGGAACAGATCGGGTGTCACTGACACTACTCACAATGGCTTTGAAACAGAGGTAACCAAGACCATTAATTAGAGTTTACTGGATTAGGTCAAGGGTGTCTCAAATGGAAAAAGAGAAAGAACATAGCAAAGGAAGAAATATGAAGTTTGGATCATTCACCGTCAACCTAATAGCAGACACAATTTCACTCCGTATTTATGCCTCTCTAAATTACCCTTATATTATACACCTGGAGAAAGAAACCGATCCACTGATGCCTAATACTGTCTATGACACATAAAAAGAAATAAACTACAACTACCTGAAAGATAGATTTATTTTTAAAAGAATAGATCAACTAACGACATAGTAGGAATAAAGCACGTTATGCTTTCTTGTTTAAATGTAAACTTTCACTGTAATGACCCAGTTCTAACAATGGTAGACTGGCAATTAAGCCTCTTTTTTTTTTTTTTTAATGAACTATATGATAGAGAACTATAGGAATATCTGCTCACAAAATCCTAGGGGAATTTAGGGATCAGGCAGCCCGCCCTTTGAAACAAACTACAAATCCCCTCTGAACTGGGATTAAGGCATCCATGAACAGCAGGGCCATTTACTACAAAACATTAAAACTGACAGCATATTACATGTTACAAAAATGATCACACATATCTTTCAGCATCCATGGGTCCCACTACTCAAACATGACAATGGTGCTACTCAGTCTTGCCTGACAAATATGTGCTTTTTACTAAAAATGAACTAATCTGCCCATTTCCTGCCTACAAGGGGCCCTCACTGCCACTCGTAATTCTCAATAATCAGCAGCTCTGTGACACTGCTTCAAGCTGTATATAATGCACATATACACATAAATCCATAGTGAAAATCCCTCAACATGACATTCTGCTCGATTTCATTAGACTTACAAAGCTCCCTAACAAACTCTGGCCACATGATTAGAAAATCATTCGAGTCTGCAGGAAATACAGGAAGCACCCAAGAAGTGACAGTCAATTAGGAGAAAGAGGAGTGGTGATTAGAATCTTTACAGCCAGAGTTCAAAGACTGAAATAATGTTATTCACACGAGATATTCTTATAAAAGCAGGTAATTCTTCTATTATGGTATCCACACTGTGACATTACCAAAGCCCAAGAAAATTTTTCTTATGAAACAGACTCAAAATTCTGAAAAATTCTGGTACAAACTTAGATAACTTATATAAATTTGTGGTGTCATCTCCAACCATGTAGGGAAACAAACTATAAAACAGTTAAGTTTACCCCTTTGGGAAGGAAGATGCAAATCAAGAATTCTTAGTCTAATCTTTCCTGAGAAGTTTCTCTTCATGAAACTTCTAACAAATGTCTTCAACAGCACATGTCATGCAGCACTACCATCTCTAACCAGGACCATTTTTTTCCTTCAGTTTCCACATGTGCTAAGAGAGAATTCACAAAACAGCAAAGCACACACCAGGGGAAGGCAATATGCTTGCATGCATCTTAGTGTCACCAAAATAAATGTCAGATTTCCTTAAATAATCACTTGTCGGACCTCCCCAGTGGCGCAGCAACTGAGTGCTGGGCTGTGAAGCTGCTCGCAGCCTCTGCAGCATCGGTTCAATCCCGGCCACCAGCAAGGGTCCCACATGGTGCGCAGACCTCTCCTGCCACGCCCGCTGCTCCCCTCAGCAGTTTACTTCATCAGTCTGCCTGTTCTGTTCCCCACTCTGGCCCTGGTGAGTTCTCTCACCCTCCTGCGCTTCTGACTGTATCCAGTGCTTGTACAAACAAATAAATAAATCTTAAAAAAAAAAAAAATCACTTGTCATTAGTATCTTTAAAGGAAACCACTGAATCAGGAGTGTTACAGCTTTTCCTGAAAGGAAGAAACTGTAGAAAATGATAAAGTCAACTTACTTGTGAGCTTGTTGTGGCTCAGAACCAGTTGTGTGATGTGGGACAAGGAGACTGTTAAAAAAAAAAAAATCACCATTAGTTATGCACCCAAATTATACCTCCACTCCTCCAAGGTGAAGTGCTTGATTATATTCACAGGTTGAAGAGTTACCACACACAAAAATAGGAGCAGAAAATCCTATAACACTGTCTGTTAAATGTTAAACCATATTAAGAAACGTCATGCAATTAGCCGTGCAATTAGCACAGCAAGTTAGAGCTAATCAGATTAATGTTGAGGATCAGACATTCCCAGGGCCGGTAAGAGAGGCTGGGGCCCGATCTGCTGGCCTCGCTGTGGTCACCCGTCTTAGCAGCGTGCTGGTCAAAGGGGCTGGCCCCAGTGTGAGGAGGCACAAAGCCCTCACTGTGCTGAAAACCGTTTCAGGACAGATATTTTTCTACGCACTATAGATGATCAGAGTAAAAACCCTCCACAACTTCCTCTAAGCTGATTTTGGTTGGCGTGTCAAGGTACCTGCAGATTGTGCGCCCGTTTCAAACATTATCCTGGAGGTTTAATCTGCTGAATGAGATTAGATTGGCTTAGAAAATGGTCTCACAACTGCAAGGAAAAGAAATATACACAGATACACACAGCCATCTGAGAAAAGTGATCTGGCTTTCCACTTTGGTTCTAAGAATTCACTGCTGGTTAGTTAAGAGACAGATTTTGAAAAGCCTCTCATCTTCTTCCAATATGAACACTGTATTAATGCAGCATGTAAAGGGATAAGAACAAATTTGTTCTCAGTGTCAATTTAGACCACAATTTGCTAAGGAGAAAATGAGGATGTATCACTCTTAAGCATAAATTTTTAAGTGTTTCTTAACTATCACAAAGCTATAGAAAAATTCAAACTATAGAACAACAACAACAAAAAACAAAAAAACAAAAAAACAAAAAAAACCTGTCTTTCTGCCCTGAATGATTTGTGACTAAACTCGTCTAATGTCCCATAAACTTTAGGGAGTTCCTGTGAACAAAGATGTTCTCCAGCAGAGTCAAAACGGAAAATAATAGGTCATTACCATCTAATCCTCAGACCCCATCCCAACTTCTCCAAATGACCAATCATTTCTTTATCAAGAAGGATCCAGTTTAGGTGCAAGTCAGGTCCCCTAAAGTTACCTTGAGTCCGAAAGCTTCTCTTTCCTTTACTCACATGCCCTTGGCAGCTGTGAAGTTTATGAGCCACGTTACTTTGTACAACCTCCATGTGGATTTTTGGTTTGCTTATTCTTGATTAAATTTAGTATGTACCTTGGGCAGGAATATCACCCAAATGGGGTGTTCATCTCACAGGACCCTAATGGATTGGGGAGGGGCACAAGATTTCAATTTGTCCCATCACTGGTGCTGTTCCCTTATCACTGAAGTCTGTGGGCTTCGCCATTGTAAATTTATTCTTTTCCTTTTGGAAATTAATGAGTTTTGGGGGTATGGGGGGCAGAGAGGAGAGAAAATATTCTGAAGCTATATAAAGTATCCCCCAATTTTTAAAAGTTCCCATTAAGCTACTCCTCTTTTATAAACAGAACATTAGTACCTGCTTCGGCTAACCAAAAGAAATCTAAGGAGAATTTTTGCTTTCACAACAAAACGTGAATAGCTAAGAACTTTTGGCATTGGATCTATAGCAGCCATTCTAGAGGCACAGCACAACCCCAGCTACGAGTGTCTTGGTGGCTTACACCTGGCTACAGGATGCATGACCAGTTAGGCACAAAAGACAGTGCTGGATCATTTTGCATGGTCCCTTCCAAAGCATGACCCTCACAATCGTTGATGGCTCATAACCCAGACACAAAATATGTTCTGAGCAACTAAGAAATGACAGTCAGCCTCTAGAACCTCAGATGCGCACCTGTGCTTCTATATCCCTGTGAAACTATATCCTTTGCCTTTATTAAATTCTTACCTGAGTAGGTTCTCCTGAGTCCTTTCACTCTCCAACCAGTGAACCAAAGAAGTAACTAGTGTTCCCCGCACTCTCCCCTCCTACCTGGACACCTTTCCACTCTACTTAGCTTCCTAGGATGCGTCTTAATTGCCCTTGCGCCACCAGGGAGGCCCAAGAGTTAAGATTTTTTTGGCCTTCTAAATAAAGCATTCTCTATCTCTGAAATATAGTCTGACATGAAAAATATCTCAAAGATCTTCCCTCACACCAAATAGGACAAAACAAATTCAGAGATATATCAGTTAAGACCATGGTCAGCTTTGTGTGAAAGCACACCACAAATAACAGGCATTACACAAAACAGGAGTTCAACCATCACCAATGCCTGGTTCCCACTTCATGGTCCAGGATGGCTGCTTAAGCGCAATTCTCATATCTGCATTCCCTTCAGGAAGACAGGAAGGAAAAGAAGACTTTCTCCTTTAGGTGACTTCCAAGAAGTTATGCATGGCACTTCCACTTGCAAGCATTTAAATTAAAATTTTGTGATACAATGATGCCTTGCTGCAAGGGAAGCAGGGCCATGTAGTCAGCATTCCAGGTGACCCTGTGCCAGCTGAAGATGAAGGGATTTTTTACCAAGAAAAGATGAGCCAATGAAAATTGGCATGCAACTCACATCCTCTCACAAGAGCAAGACTGTCACTCAAATCAACTCTGCTTAAGAAAGAATACTGATAATCTTATCTCCTCTTGCCCTGATTTTCCAAAAAAAAAAAAAAAAATCACAAACTAAACAAAAAAGAAAAATCCGTTTGCTCTTCTGCCAGCTAACATTCACAAGGAAAGATTTAATTAAGGAAAACTGGTTCTTTTCAATCATTTCACACCCGTTCAACAAGCATTTAGCAGGAGAACGAAGTGACAAAGTTTGAAAGATTTTTTCAAACAGAGAAAAAAAATTCAGTTGTTGCAATCACACCACTAAAAATGTATTTTTCTTTTTCACTATTGTTATAAGTCTACAGGTTAACGTAGGTAAGAGGGAGAGAAATTAGAGCAGGAAAGAAAAAGTTAATGAAAGATCTTTGAGAAATTATTTAAGGCAACAAAAGAGGGCAGAGTGGGCCTGTGGGGAGGGAGCTGCATTGCACAAAATCAAAATTACAGATTCAATACCAAGCCTGAAAGAGGCAAAGAAGGAGCAGAGAGGTGTATTTATACAACAGGCTACTCCCTTCCACTTGGCAGTGCTTTAGTTCATTGTGAGTCTCCTGTGGAAACTATGCTATTAAAAAAGAAGGGGGAAAAGGCCCACAAAATAGAACGGATTATTTAAAAGTACAAAAGCTGCCACAGTCAAATAAGCCGGGGAAATGGGAGCAGGCTGGACCCATGGACCTGCCTTGCTCAGCTTAGCAGCACGCTGGGAGCGCCTTGGTGGGTAACTAGTGCTGCCGCTGGCCACCAACTGTCAAGAATGAGTTCCCCAGAGCTCATTACCTCTTGTTACAGTTCCTACAGCAGTGTTAAACTATGCCTTGTCTAGGTATTTTCAAAGGAGAATGTATTTCAAAAAACCCAGTAATAAACTAAGAAAATGTGCTGACACAAAAGTTAACGTCGTTTACATACCCAGCACCTCGGCTGTCACTGAGCCTCCAGCTGCAGCAAGGGTGTATACAGGAATGTGGCGTCACACCAAAAAAAACATCAGGAAAACAAAACTGTCAGGAGGGAGGTGTTTGAGGGGGTGGGGTGGGGGGCATGCTGAGGTTGCTGTATTTATGAATTATGATTGTTCTCCAGCCAAGACAGGAACCAGCAGGAAAATGCTTTTGGTCAATACTTTCATAAGACAGACAATGAAAGGCTCATGGAGACTCCCTGGCAGTCACTCACCACGCTGCAGGAGTGAGATTCTCTTAAAAGGAATGTTGACCATAGCTCCTGGTTCAATCTGGGACACCCCTGGATTAAGCCTGCTGCCCTTCTCAAAAAATGTCAGTACATTTTAGATGATGAACTATATAATCACTCTATTTAGGAAACATAGAACACGCAGCAAAATCTTAAAATGCAAAGTATAAAAGATCCATGGATATGAGAGAAGTATAGCTGGATGGATAACAGCTCAGGAGAAGCTTCTAGGGACTGTTACATCCACAAGCACTACAGGGCAGAGGGCTCACCATGCACTGAAGAAGCTGCAAGGAGTCCAAGATGGAAACTGGAGATTGGGGAAGCAACCCCAAGTTTATCTGAGCAAAGAGAGGGGAAGCAGGGAAGGCAAAGGACTGGAGGGGGGCATACAGTAACTTAATGAAATAAATTCAGAAAAATCGAAGGGCTAACTAAACACTCCCAGAAAAAGAAGGCTCATTTCTAGATAACTCATGGAAACAGATGCTATTTGAAACAAGTTCAGTTTTCTCCTTCAGCATAAAATAGGCAGCATGAGAAAAGAAAAATAAGCCAGAGAAAATCCACAGCCCCATAAGATGACATTATAGATTTGTTTTCAAAACAACCCAACATATCACAAAGATGTGGCAGACTGGAAATGCTAGTTTTTAATTTGGCAAATCAGAAAGCAAATTATTCTTTGGTAGCACCTTAGAGAGGGTAAAAAGTTCCAGCTTCACAGAACTGATATCCACAGAAAAGCACACAGCCAGGATGATACAAGAGGGATGAGATTTCAAAACACATGAGGTAATGGAAACCTAATGTTTATTTCTACAATCTTGTCACAGGTCAGAATTGGCCATCTTTAGGTTTCAAATAAAAGGTTCTGAAATGTTAATTACAAAACTGGACTGCAACTACCATTTCATTTTACAGAATTCATCCTGACCTGAAGCATCAGGAGAGAACTGCTATCAGTGGAAGCTAAGCCGTCTAACCCTTTCTGACAGTTCTTGTGGGAACAACTGTGTCTGTACTGGAAGATCACTCAAAGGCTCTGGGTATTCAAAAGGGGCCACTTGTTCCACAATGCCAGGGGCACCGTGCCCATGCTGTGCACTCTGCAGAGAGCTGGACTATTTGCAATGTTCCATCATACTGAGTGATTATGACGTGGCAATAGGACCTCTGCTAATTCAG